ACCTCAACTCAAAAAAAAAAAAAAAAAGTTTGGGGCAGAAGTTAAGATGAAAAAGAAGACTCCTTTTAGCACAATTTAAGTGGGAGCCATACAAATGAAGATATTTCTTCTACTTCACCATGTATCAGTGTTATTCTAATCACATCACGTGTGTGCCCTTGACATGTATGTTTTTTATCTGCTCAACAGAAACAGCCCCATGAAATGAGGACTATTTTTACTCCGCCCCCCCCCCTTTTTTTGAGTTGAAGTCTCACACCGTTGCCCTGGCTGGAGTACAGTAGCATAGTGGCATACTGGCATGCTCATGGTCACTGTAGCCTTGACATGCTGGGCTCAGGTGATCCTTCTGCCTCAGTCTTCCAAGTAGCTGGAACTACAGGCACTAGCCACCACACACACCTGGCTAATTTTTTGATTTATTGTAGAGATAAGGTCTCACCAAGTTGCTCAGGCTGGTCTCGAACCCCTGGTCACAGGTGACCCTCTCGCCTCGGCTTCCCAAAGTGCTGGGATTACAGGCTTGAGCCACCACGCCCAGTCACTTTTATTCCCATTTAACAGACAGGAAAATAAAGGCACAGAGCACCGACACAGCTTGCCCAGGGTCATACACTAAGTAAGCAGAAGTACCTCTGTGCTCTTAACCGCCACATGCCACTGCTGCCTCGGAGGTGATAAGAGGCATTGACACCCATGAGCCTCAGCTCTTAGGGGTCTTGGTTCTCCCTCCTGCAGAGTGGGAGGGGGATGTTTAAAACACTTCCTTCCTCTTTCCACTTCTGACATCCAAGGAGCTTTTGCCTTGGGATCAGCGCAGGAGCACTCTGAGTCAGAGACCACCCCTGACGCAGGTCCAGGACAGGCAGAGCCCTGCATGACCCAGGCAAAGACCAAATGGTCGGCAGACACCTCGTGGCGTCGAGTGCTGTCTGGCGCCACATCAGTCAGACTGGAGTCCACCCACTGCTGCCCAAGCCCTGGTGCTCTCGGCCCTCTGGACCTTGATGCAGAGGCAGGAATGCTGGCTCCCTGCCGGCTTCTCACAGGAGACAGATGTGTCCTTTCCCTCCAGTCAGCCAGCAACCTCGTGGAACTGAGGCCGAGAGTGACCTTAAAAGAGTTCATGGCAGCCACACGGAAGGCCCTAGAAGGCCACCTGGAATCCAGCACTGCCAGAGCCAGCTTCTGTCCCTGATAGGTGAGGCCACCCCGAGGATAAAGAGCCTGAGCAGACTCAGCCTCAGGTCACAGCCTACAGGGACATTCCAATTTCACAACCCTAGTGTTCTGGGGGAAAGTGCCCGCTTCAGGCGGCCCCAGGCCAGGGTGGATGCTGACAGCAGCCTCAGAACGTCAGAGGAGTGCTCTCAGGGAGGAAGCAGGGAGGGAGGAGAAGGGGGCGTTCGTAGGGGACAGGAAGACATGAGACAGCGACAGACAGACTCAAGGAGTAGGCGGGAATGACAGAGCTAAAAAGACAGACAGGCTGAGCCAGCCATGGAGAGAAGGTGACAGAAGGAGACCCAGGCCTCCAGCAGGAAGGGCCAGGCCTGAGGACAGGGAAGAGGGGAGGGACCTGTGGCTTAAGCACTCACTGTGCTCCAGGCATCACAGTCATGGGATGGCACTGAGTAAGAATCAACCACATGCACTGACACATTTAGTCTTCACAATGCCTCTAAGAAGTACATACAATAACTCACCCTGTTTTATAGACGAGAAAACTGAGGCACAGAGAGACAAAGTCACAGAGCCACGAAGGTGGCTAAACAGGGAACCAGTCGTGAGGGGCAGAGCTCTTCACCAAACACTGCTATAAAATCGTCCCCGTCGCACAGAAGAGAAAATCAAGGATCAGAGAGGCCCACGGGAGGAGGCAGACAGTGAGGAGCCCACACATGCGTGTGGGACATGCACCAGTCGCCCTGTGTGAGGCTCCTCACCACGCCCTTGGGAGGCTCAGAGACATGGCCCGGACCACACAGCAACTGATAGGCGTGCTGAGGTAGGGCCTGGGGTCTGGAATTCAGCCCTCAGCTCCAGTCATCGCTGGATTCCAGGGGCGAAGAAGCCTCTGGACAAAGAAACAGATGACAAAGTAACAGAAAAGAGCACATGAAAAGTGCTGCACCAGTCAGCTAAGACCAGCCTCCATCTACTGAGCAAGAAAAAAGACAGAACCTCTCTGTGCACCCACCCAGCCATCCATTCAGATCCCAACTCCTCCAGCCTTCATCCCCGCTCTATCTCCTAGCTTTTCCTCTCTCCAGTCATCCAGCTATCCATCACTCAGTCATCCGATTATCCCACCTTCCATACCAGCGTCCAAACACCTCAGCAACTGTCAACCAACCACTGACCCATCCACCCACACAGCCATCCAATTGGCCATGCAGGCACTAGTCTTCAAAGCTCCACCACCCACCCCCTTCCCAATGACACAACCATCCACTTACCTAGGCACTCAACAAACCACACACTGGGGCCCCAGTCCATGACTCATGTAAACATGCCATGCAGGCTCCATGTCCACTTCTCCAGCTCCCGAATGCCCACTCGTTCCCTCTCCGTGCTTCCAGCCAGCCAGCTCCTAGCCCTCCAACCTTCACACTACACACCTGCTCACTCTCCACATCAATTCGCCCGCCATCCACATTCCTCCCCGCCTGCCCCCTCTATCCACCACCACTCAGGTCCCAACGACCAACCACCCGTCTACCCCTCCTCCCATGGACTCACTCACACACACCATCACTCAACTCCTGACCACACATACTGTCACTCACATTTCCACTCACCACACACCATCACTCACACATCACTCACAATCCTGATCACACATGCCGTCACTCACACTCCCACTGACATGTGATATCCCTCACACTCACACACATCGTCACTCACGTTCCCACTCACACACACCGTCACTCACACTCCCACTCACACACACATTGCCTGCAGCTACCTACTCAGCCACCATCCACTTACTTCTGGACTCTGCAGAATACAAGAAGCTCCAGTGACAGAGACAATGTGAAGATACCATCTATTCCTTCCAAAATCTTAACAATAAAACAGGTTTGCTCCTCTCAAACCTTTGGATCTTGGAATTACATGACACTGGTGCCACAAAAAACCTCTAAACTTCTATGATCATCTAGACCTACATTTTCCACACAGCAGTCACAAGCCACAGGCAGCTACAGAGCACTTAAAATGTGACTAGGACAAGGCCAGGTGCAGTGGCTCACGCCTATAATGCATTGGAAGGCCAGGGTGTGAGGATCGCTCAAGCCCAGGAATTTGAGACCAACCTGGACATAGTATTCATCTCTAAAAAATAAGCCAGGTATGGTGGCTTGTGCCTGTAGTACCAGTTACTTGGGAGGCTGAGGCGGGAGGATCACATGAGCCCAGGAAGTCAAGGCTACAGTGAGCTATGATCCTGCCACTACACGTCAGCCTTGGTGACAGAATAAGACCCCAATTCTAAAAAAAAAAAAAATGTTTAATGTGGCTAGGACAAATTGAGAAGTGCTGTAAGTGTAACAGGCACACCATATTTGAAGATGTAGTAGAAAAAACACACACACAAAATTTCTCTTTAATAATTTTTAAAAATTGGTATAATTATATACATAATTATCATTGAATACAATATAATATTTAGGGATTATATTAGGTTACATCAAATATAGTTCTTAAGTTCATTTCACCTGTTTCTTTTTTTTTTTTTTTGAGTTGGAGTCTCACTCTGTCGCCCAGACTGGAGTGCAGTGGCCGCTTCCAGCCACCACAGCCTCAACCTACTGGGCTCTGGCGGTCCTTCTGCCTCACCCTACCAAGTAACCGGAACTACAGGCATGCGCTACCATGCCCGGCTGATTTTTTTTTTTTTTTATTATAGAGATGAGGTCTCACCAAGTTGCCCAGGCTGGTCTGGAACCCCTGAGCTCAGGCAATCCTCTCACCTCCGCCTCCCAAAGTGCTGGGATTACAGGTGTGAGCCACCATACCCAGTTTTTTACTGTTTTTAGCATTATTACAAAAAATATAATATACATGATTTGCATCATATTTCAACTAGACAGTGTTGATTTGGAACAAACCCTTCAACTCACAGAAACAAAAGGGAGACCCAGAGAGGAAAGTAACAAGCCTAGTGCGTCACCTGGAGAAGGCAGGAGGTTAGACCCAGTCTCAGCCTATGCAGCATCTCCCACCAGCCCCACCCCACGCCTTCCGGCAGCCCACCTGGATTTCCGCTTGCAGTAGACCAGAAGGTTGTCGAAAAGGAAGAAGGCTCTCTCCTGGATATTGCCCGCAGAGATCTTCAACAACGTTCCCTGAAGCAGGAGCTGGGTGCAGATGTCCGTGAGGTTGGAGCCCTGGAGGAGTGACGGGCGCAGGGAATGAGCCACCCAGGGATATCATACCCGCTTCCGCTCCCAGAGATGGAGCCCACCGCCACCCCCCACACCCCATCCCCCAGAACTCCAAATGCACTTCTAGCGGCAAATCTGCCCAGGACAGAGAATCAACAGCATTTGGTTGCCAGCTTCCATCTGTTGAGAGTGCCAGGACAACCTAGGCAGATGTATCCGTATGACCAGATGTCCTTTTTCCAGGAGAGGGATGTGAGGCTCAGGGAGAAGGGATGGCCTGGCTCACACAGCCAATGGTCCTAGTCTGTGTCTTCTTGAGTTTTGGATCGGTTTTTGGGGGTGGGGGTTTCCACCTGTCCCTCCCCCTTATTTATTTATGTCTTGACTCGTTCCTCTCTCCCTCCCTGTAAGAACCCCCTCCCATAAGGGCAGGGCTGATACCAAACATGTGTCCCATGAATTCCCGGCACCTACAACACTCTCTGGCACACCGCAGGTGCTCAACAAATACACTGTGCACACCATCAGGGCGGGACCCAAGAGTGCCTGATCTAGCCAAGGACGTGCGCATCGATCGACAGTTCCCAAGTTCCATGCAGGCATCCATGCTGAGTGGCAGGGGGTGGGTAAGATACTAAGTGTGCACAGAGTTTACGGAACATCAGTTAGGTTCGAAGCGGCATAGTTTGTGCCTATATTCCCAACATTGTGGGAGGCTGAGGCAGGAAGATAGCTTGAGGTCCAGGAGTTTGAGAGCAGCCTGGGTAACACAGCAAGATCCTGTGTCTTCAAAAAATAAAAATAAATGCATCAAGGAAGAGTGAGCTGGGCCTTGGAAGATGGTTCAGATAAAGAGGCTGAAGACCAGGATGGGGAAGGCCCTGGCTGGAAGGAGTTCTCAGAGCTGTAAACCACACAGAGCTCTCTGGAGCTGAGAAGACCCAGGCCAGGGCAGAGACCCAAAGTACAAATAAAGAGGAAGCTGGAAAGAGACACTAACAGGCACAGAACGGCAACTGAGGCAGCCCCTCTGCGTCCTCCAATCCATGCCCTTCTTGTCATTTCTGGCCCTTGGCTGCCCAAGCACAAACTACATCTCCCAGCCTCCTTGTACCAGGTGTGGTCACGTGACTGAATTATCACCAAATGCCTCCTTCCCATCTTGCCTTTTCCTCTCTCCACAGTCTGGGGTGGTAGAATACGGGATGCGGGTAGAGCAAGTAGCTGGAAGGAACCTGGGTCCCGGCAGGCAGAACTGCCCACCTCGGCCTGAGTGCCACCTCTGCTAGTAAGAAATGTCCTTGACCTTACTGGGCTTTTCTGTCTGGCAGCAGTCACTCGTGGGCATTAAGTACCACAGTAAGGCAAGAACGAAGGTCCTCGAGGGGTGGACACTGGAGTTGCTGGCATTCAAGTCCAAGGAGGATTACACACAAGCAGTGTTTTAAGGGAGATTCCACATCAGACCTGCTGACCACACCAAAGGGAGAAACAAGAACTGAGCCTGGCCCTGCCTGGAAATGAACTTGGGGAGGAGAGGGGGAGAGTTAGCCACAGAATCTCCTTCCCCAAGCACTCAACACCCAGAACCAATGTGGACTTCCGACCCAGGAGACTTGCCGACTCAATCACTTCTAGACCCAGCAAGGGGAACTGGCTATGGCAACTGAGCACTCAGGCTGTCTGCTTACTGCCCGCTACGGCCATTCTTGCTACTGTTCCAGCTGGTTTGCTCTGTGCCCGTGGTCCGGCTGGGTGCAATCAACCCATGCACCCAACAGTGCCAGAGACCCTGCTGCCTTGTGGTCAAGAGCTGCACAGTCCGGGCCAAGATACCATACTCGGTATCAGACATCACAGCCCCTGGCGTGGCAGTGGCCCACTGGACATGGATATTTGCACACCGCAGACAGGACTCTGATTCCCAGGGAGGCAGTAAGTCTACTACCAGGATCCAGGACTGTCAGAGGAAGAGCCCCTTAGACCCTCTACATCCTCACAAATAGGGCACAGGGACGCCTGGCTCCATCAATGGCCCATGGGCCAGCTCAGAGCTGTTGACACTGGTCAACAGCCCCTCCAGCTCACATGCCTCCCCTTCCCCTGGCTCACTTCCCTCATGTCCACCCTCCAACCCTTCCAGGCTCCCAAGGGAACTTTAGCTGCTTGAATAAGAACCTGGCACCTGCCCAGCTGCAGAGCCCCAAGTCACATGGCCCTAGACCTGACCTCTGCTACCCTCCATGTGGGCAGCTGCCTCTCTGGCCTTAGCCAAGGGCCCCCCAGCACATCGCATCTGAAATGCCAAGCAGGCTATAAGGGACACCCCTTCCACCCCAGCCCTGCTGAGAGGCCCAGCTGGATTCTTGGTCTCCCTGAAATCCTCACACCCAGGTCAAGGGCGGTGTCAGGATCAGACGCACAGGGAAGAGACTGAGCATCAAAGATGCCCACCTGACTAGAGACCTTCTCCCACATATGCAGAGTCGACCCAGCTGGGCAGTTAACATTCAGAGAGGACAGACGCTCAGATATCAAAAGCCAATACAAGCCCAGGGCTTACCACATGCTGGGCACTAGCTACGAATCCCATACAAACTCAGCTAATTGTTATGTCTCATTTTACAGCTGAGGAAACTGAGCCACAGAGGGGAAAAGTGACTTCCTCAAGGTCACACAGATGGTAAGACAGTGGGCCGGAATTTGGACCCAGACAGGCTGTCCCCAATGCTTCACCCGTTCACCTCCAACTCAGGCTGCCTCTTCAGAGATGACCTGAAGATATTTCTACAAATCACTGGTCTAGAACAGGGGTGTTCAAGGGGGGAGGAACCACACCCTGCTGGAAGCCCAAAGCATCCCAGGGAAGGTGGAAATATGAAAACCTGTATTTAGAGTCTTTAAAAAAAACAAGAAAGAGTCTCTCTCTGTCACCCAGGCTGGAATGCAATGGCACAGTCATAGCTCACTACAGCCTAGAACTCCTGGGCTCGGGCTTCCTTCCTCCTCAGCCTCCTGAGTAGCTAGGACTACAGGTGCCCACAACCACACCTGGCCAAGTTTTTTATTTTTTGTAGAAACGAGGTCTCACTATGTTGCCCAGGCTGGTCTCAAACTCCCGCCTCAAGAGCTCCTCCTGCCTCAGCCTCCCAAAGTGCTGGGATTACAGGTATGAGCCACTGCTCCTGTTCTAGAAGTTCTTGTTTTTGTTTTTCTTTTTTACTTATTGATGTTTCACTACTCGTTTCCTTCTCGCCCCTCGCAGGTGAGGGAGCAGCTGGTCCTCTCTTATACCAGGGCTTCCAGAGCCAGCAGGAGGAATGCCCCCTGATTCTTCCTTATGAAGAACGTGCACCACCCTTTCACGACTGCCAGCTTCACGCAAGAGTCCCCGGGGCTGGTGGTCCCTTTCAAGGGGGTCGGCCCACACTGGGTACAAGTTCTAGTCAAAGCTGCAAGATGTTTCCCAGCTCCTCCTGGTGCTTCCTCAGACACTCTAGTCCTCGAATGACCCTGGAGGGGGCTGCAGCTGTAGAGGCCTGCTTGCCCGCTGGCTCCCACAGTGTTGCGACATGCCGCCTCTCCTGTGCTCCATGAGGTGGACTTGTGGATTAACTTATCTGGTGTTAACTAAACCTGTCTCAAGACAAAGACGGGCAAGTGGCTTACAAAGGATCAGGGGGAAGCCCCACAGACAGGAGATCAAACTCGGATGACGCAAGCCCACACAACCAGCAGGAACATGGCCAAGAAGACTCCCCCCTTCTCCGCAAACAAGTCCCTTGTCAGCCACTTTCCAAGACAGAGCACATCTGCACGAGGTCACCCAGAACGATGAGGAACAGTCGAGAAGAGTGTCTGAAATAAAGACCTGCAACCACTGTCATTCACCATGAACCAGCCCTAGGTTGCACTGTCCCCAGAGGTGGCAACTACTGACAGACAGCATGCAAGCAGCTTCACTATTACACATTATGTTTTCTAGCTAGAACATATCATTTTCACAAGTCATGGTGAGAATCAAAATGTACTTTTTTTTAAGTACTTTTTAGTCAGCTCTCACTCTGTTGCCTAGGCTGGAGTACAGTGGCATGATCACGGTTCACTGCAGCCTCAGCCTGATCTCAGGCGATCCTCCCAACTCAGCCTCTCAAGTAGCTGGGACTACAGGTGCACACCACCACAGCCCGTTAATTTTTTGACTTGTTTTTGTAGAGACGAGTCTCGTTTTTCTGCCCAGGTTGGTCTCGAACTCCTAGGTGCAAGCAATCCTGCCTCGGCCTCCCAACGTGCTAAGATTACAGGTGTGAACCACTGTGCCCAGCCCAAAATGTATTTAAAAATCTTTCCACTGCATTAAAAAATCATTTCACATATTCCAAAGGATATCTGTATTCCACACACACTTTACCCTCAAAAATGAGACCAGGCGATGACTTCAGAGATATTATTACTAAAAGTGAACAGACAGGGGAAATGAGGCCCACGAAGTAGGACAACCTACCCAGGGCAGGGCTGGGCCTCAGTTTCCCCACCTGTAACTTGGGGGTAATAGCAGCACCTGCCTGTAGTTCTGGAAGCACGGAACAGGCAATCTATAATTGCCTGCGATTCTTATTCTAGCTCACTTTATTTCCTACTGTACCCAGAAACGGTGATCAAAGTAAGAGCCACTGAGTTCTCAACAGCAGACCTCAGGGTCAGAAAGGCTTCCTCAGCCCTTAGCTCCTGCCTCCCTGGGCCCTTGCCAGGAAACAGCATCTGGAAGTCCCTTCTGCTCTGACTGCCCAGGAGCTGGTGCAACACTCTCCCCACAGGAGCCCACACGAGTAATGTCTTTTCCAACTGAGTGTCCAGAAACTCTGTCTCCCAGAAGAACCACTCTACTTCTTCCTTTTCTGACAATGAGTATGAGGTAACTTATGTGTGCTGTTCTTTTCACCTTGGCTGCCAGGCAGCTCAAAGCCTAAATAGACAGAAGTTTCAGTGAGTCAACTCTACTTGCTCCTGAGGTTGAAAGTGTCCACGTGAACCATTTCTGGCCAATGAGATGAAAGGGGCTTCTGGAAAAGGGCTTTTCCCCCACCAGAAGGAGAGCTTCCTGCCTTGACCATGCCCATCTCCTCCTGTTTTGAACACACGAAGCCTGTAGCTGCTGCCTCTGTGGAAGCATGAGGGAAAGAAGAGGCTCACGAGAGACCAAATTAGCTCTGCTGTCGGGAGGCTGAGCTGAGAGTCCTTAGGGAACGCATCCTGATTGAACACAGAGGACCAGGCAACTCTGTGCTGCAGGACACAGAAACTAAACCATGTGCTTTAAGCAAAAAGGAAGGAGGGGCTTACTCGGGCACCCAGGTGCTAGAGGAATCAGGAATCCCAGAGGGGCTCCCAGGAAACCAACGACTGCAGAACTGGCCCTGCTGGGAAGAGGAGAGACAGAACGCCACCAGCCAAGCTCACTCCAGGAAAACACTGCCTGGGTGGCATTCAGGCACGTGGTAGTTGTTGCCTCAACTGTCCGTGGCACGTTCGTCTCATGCCTGGTAGACATGCATGGCCAACAGTCAAGAGATGAATGCCCTGTGCCCTGCGTCTCCACACCCTGGAGGCTGGTGCCCTCTGCAAATGTTATCACAGAAAGTCAAGCACAACCACAGCTGCGCTTTGCTGAAGAACAAGGGACGTGGGAGGCTGAGGGGGTCACCAGCCCACTTCCCCTTCTAAATCTCAAGTAGCTGGTGCTGATCCTGGCTAAACCCCAGATCTCATCCCAAGCCCAAGCTCCAAGGGAGTCTGGGAAATACAGCTCCTTGTCCTCCAGCCTTGGTGGGGCAGGAAGGCCTGGCGGAAGCAGCGTGTGTGATGTGACAAGTGGACTGGCCAACCCACAGCACCCGCCGCTCCTAGACACAGGCCCTCTCCTCCCTGCAGCCAAACCTGCCACCTCCCAGTGTCACATCCAGGACTCCCCAGCACGGAGAAGAGAACTCAAAATCCCAGAGGCAGTAAGATCTACAAAGCCCAGGAAAGCCCAAGGGCCTAAGGCAGCTGGTTTAGTTAGCCACAGAAGGAGCCTCTCATCTATGGTCTCAGTGTCCCACTCCAGCTGTATTTACTCTGATATTGACTGTTGTATTTATTCCTGTATTCCCACTTCCTTCCACAGATTTGTAGGAAACCTCTAATAATCTGGGGAAGGCCTGGAGGTTTAAACAAATAAAGTATATACAATCTAAAGAGCTCAAGGATCCCAGCCCCTAATAATCATGACAGTGATAGCAACATTCACCGTTTGAGCACCTACAATGTGCCAGGCACAGACGAGGATACTGGTGTCCAAAGGAGTTAAGACAGTTGCCTAAAATCACCGGCAAGGGAGCATCAAAGCCAGAACTCTGTAGAATGGACTTTTTTTTTGAGTTGGAGTCTCACTGTCACCCAGACTGGAATGCAGTGGTCGCTCCCGGCCACCGCAGCCTTGACCTGCTGGGCTCTGGCGATCCTTCCGCCTCAGCCTTCTGAGTAGCCGGAATTACAGGCGCGCGCTACCACGCCCGGCTATTTTTTGATTTATTGTGGAGATGAGGTCTTGCCTGCCCAGGCGGGTCTCGAATCCACGGGCTCAGGTAATCCACTAACCTCAGCCTCCCAAAGGTGCGGGATTACAGGCTGAGCCACCGAGCCCAGCTAGAATGGACATTTAAATACTACCCTTGACCTTGGTGTCAGCAGCTCCAAGGCAGGTGAGGCAATGCACGAAAAAGAACGAGCAGGGAGGTAACAGGAGCTGGTGGACACTAAGGAGAACCAGAGGCCCTGGTGGCCCAGAGGTACCCACTTTCCAAGAAAAACTTGAAATCTAGATTCTAATGTAGAGTTCACTGAAAAATAATTAAGCAATTTTTTTACAAACACTATGTAGGCCGAACACAATACACCGCTGATGAACCTGGTGCCCAGGATGCAGTCTGGGCCGGCCGCTGTGCACCCAGACTCCCAACCCCGGAGGCCCCTCCTGCCCCGCACACACCTCCCAGCCTTCAATGTGGGACTGCAGCTGCTCCAGGGCTTCCAGTTTCTCCATCTGCCGCTTGGTCTCATTGATGTTGGAGCAGACGGTCTTCATGGCCTGCAGGGCGCTCTGCACCGCGGGGTGGTCCGGGTGCTTGCCGGGAGTCCTCTTGGCCAGCTCCTGGGGGCAGGAATAAGAGACATCAACCCAGAGGAGACCCAGCCCTGAGTTGAATCCCTGCTCAGCTACAGATAAGCAGCGCAGTCTGGGGCTGGGAGCACCACCACTCGCTCACTCATGCCACAGAGGCTACCCAAACACCTCCTCTGTGGCAGGCAGTGCTCCAGGGTCTGAGGATAGCGCTGTCAACAGAACAGACACAAATTCCTCACCTGATGGAGATTACATTCTGGCAAAGGACGTGGGCCAGAACAGAGCCAAATCGTGTCTATCATACCCTGCCAAGCAGCGGCCGATACTATGAAGACTAACCCGCATGTAGGGACAGAGAAGTGCTTCATGTGGGAATGTCAGGGGATCCCTTCCTGAGGAGTCAACTGACACAGACCCTGGATGGAGTGCAAGGGAAGAGCATGCCAGGCAGAGGGCCTGGGGTTGGCACGTGTGTGGTAAATAGCAAGGAATGTCAAGGAGGTGGCACACCTGGGATGGAGTAAACAAGACAGAGAGAAAAGCAAGGATCGGTGGGTCACAGAGGTGGCCACAGACACTGCCCTCCCCCCTCCCCAACCTCAGTTTACTTGTTTGCAAAATGGGTATAAAGGCTGGGCGCGTTGGCTCATGCCTGTAATCCCAGCACTTTGGGAGGTGGAAGCGAGAGGATTGCCTGAGCTCAGGGGTTCGAGACCAGCCAGGGCAACTTGGCCAGACCTCATCTCTACAATAAATCAAAAAATTAGCTGGGCATGGTAGTACACACCTGTAGTTCTGCTACTTGGAAAGCTTAGGCAAAAGGATCACCTGAACCCAGTAGGTCGAGGCTGCAGTGGCCGTGAGCGTTCCACTGCCCTCCAGCCTGGGCGACAGAATGAGACTCCAACTCATGCAACAGGGTGTGTGGAGGGGCCAGCTGCTCTTCACCTGTGAACCCCTGCCCCCACCGCTGCTCACTCCTGCCTCAGCCCCTACTCCAGCACAGGCTGGGCACCCTCAAGCCCAGGCCAGTCTCAATCAAAAGCTTTCAGCCTAAGTGTGAGGAGGGAGGGATGGAGGAGGAAGGGATTAGCTGGGCCTTGAGATATCAGGGAAGATTTCCAGGCCAAACTGTCAACATGCCAGCCTTTCATCCAGTGCTGCCAGCAGAGATAAGTTTCTCTAATCAGCCACCCAGAAACATGCCCAGTGGTTCCAGGTCCTCCCACAGCCCCTCCTCTCTGCTCCCTCGAAATCACAGATAACGCCCTTGCAGACGCAACACTCTTGCACAGCGGTCATGGGCAGGAACAGGAGTTCAAGAGCTGCCTCCGCCCCTCGCTGTCTGGGGGACTGCAGGCCAGCTGCCCTCCCCTCCTGAGCCCCAGTGTCACCATCTGCAAATCAGAGATGATGTGAATGCCTATAAAGCCCCTCCCCCGTGCTATCCCACTTAACAGATGAGGAGACTGAGGCACAGCGAAACAGCACAGCCTCAAAGGAAGTACAACGAGGGTCGGGAGAGGAAGCATGCCATCTGGCTAAACCCATGGTCTCGGGGAGGGATAAGTCAGACGCCCCAGGAAACACGCCTAGGACACACACAGTAAGCACCCAAGCCAGGCTAGCTGCCAGTACTCTGGCCATCCCTGTGTTACAGCACGAGCTTGCATGCCATGCGACAGCATGCACAAGAAGGCGCTGTTTCAGGCACTCCCTGGAAGTCCCTCCGAAGTCCCCTCTCTCACGCGCATCACCTCTGCCCTGCCTGAAGACGAGTGTCCTCTCTCTGAAGACGGGTCCTCACCTCCCCGAGGCCAGGTGTCCTCAGCATCAGGCCCTGGGGGTGCCCAGGAACGTGCCAAGGAGCTGCCAGGGAAGGAGAGGACAGAGCCTTCCCTGAAGGTCCCAGCAACGGGAGCGAAAGGTGCTCCCTGGGGGGCAGTGGGAAGGACCAGATGGCAGCTCCAGGGGGTGAGAGCCCTGAGCCAAAGCAGAGGCAGACGGTGTGGTCAGATGCAAGCCTGGAAGGTTTCATTCAGGAGGAAGCAGAACGAAGCAGGCAGGATCCTGGGAGCAAGCTCTGCTTCCAGGGGTGTATTCGACCCCTTCTTCACCCAAAAAACGTGGCCGAGCAACTGGATTGCACCTGAGCCCCGGGAGCTGGGCAAGAACAAGATGACGCTCCAAGAGCCCAGGGTTGGCAAAGTAAAGACTGTTACTCCCAGTGCTAGTAACAACAGCTCAAACTCAGCCAGTGCTCACACTCTTGCAGAGCTCACTCGATCTCACAGCAACTCCACATCAGCCCTACGAGGTGAGTACTATTATCCTCATTCAACAGATGGGAGAACTGGACACAGAGAGGTCAGGTTGTCTGCCCAAGGTCACACAGCAGACCTGAGCCTACTCAGTCTGGCTACAGAAATTGTGCTCTGAATATCCCTATGCTAGTCACAACCTTCCAGGCAGCTAACAAGGAATACTATCCTCTCAAATAAATACATAATTTATATTCATTAAAGGGACAGAGAGCTGGGGGCCGCAGTAGTCTGAGAAGGTCTCCCCGAGGAGATAGCTTATGAGGGGAGCTTGGACAAAGTAAGAACACGGGTCGCCCTTGCATCTGTGGGAACAGCTCTCCAGGAAGAAGGCACAAGCAAAGACCCTGAGCCAGCAAGTAGCAGCAAGGAGGTCACTGAGGCCGCTGCAGGGTGCACAAGAGGGAGGAACGGACAATGAACTCGGACTGGCACCCTGAGGCCAGATCACGTCAGGCCGGGCAGGGTGTTTGGGTTTCCTCCCAAGGATGTGATGGGCAAGTGAGTGGAGTCCTGGCGCCATCCAGTGCACCCTTGAAAGACCCCTCTGCTGCTGACCGGAGGGAGCATACGATGGACATAAAAGCAGCAAGACCAGTTAACAGCTACAGCACACATCCAGGCGAGAGCTGATGGCAGCCTGGACCAGAAAGCTCGGTGCCTCATTCATGCATTCTTTCATTCAGTAAGGCCTCAGTGGACCCAGGCTGTGCTCTCTGTCAGGAACAGATGATGGCAGACACTGCCCCAATCCCTCCTGGAGCTGATGGCCTGCTTGTGGGCAAGTCCACAGGAGACCACCAGCTTTCGTGACTTTAACCGGTAACGCAGTTCAATTCAGCAAAGCTACCCCTGTTCTGTGGACAATGCTTTTGCGCATCAGGGCCTGTGTGAGGTCAGCCAGGGCCAGAGAGGTGTGAGGCCAGTTAGCTCCCAGTGGACGGCGACAGAGGCTGCCAGTTAGTGAGGCCCTCCCACCACTACCTATCATGCCCTTCTCCTATAGCAGGGGTCAAAGGACAGGCTGAGGCCTGAGTCGAGCACAGCACCTGCTTTTGGAAATAAAATTTTATTGGAACCCAGTGTCCTCATCATTTACATATTGCCAGCAGCTGCTTTTTTCTTTTTATCCAACAGAGACTATGTGGGCCTCAAGGCCTAAAGCATTCCTATCTGGTCCTTTAAAGGAAAAGTTTGCTGACCCGTGGTCAAAAGCAACAGCAGTGATTCCCAGCTGAGCATGAAGACACCAGAAGAAAGGCCACATCCCAGGCTGCCCGACACTGGGCTCTGGTTGCCAAGATGGGAGCACAGGTGCCATGTGACGCTCCCCTTCTTCTCCCCACTTCCCTGGCTGGAATGTGGGTGTGGTGTGAGCAGTTGAGATCCCAGTGGTCAGGGCCACAGCTCGGGGTGGCAGAAATTGGCCCCGACAGCATGGAGCCACCGTGCTACACTTCTACAGAAATAAGCTCAAGCACTGCTTAAGCCACTGCTGTTTGGGGCTCTGTCACAGCAGCTGGACTAGAATCTAGCACAAAAAAGACCCCGCCTGGGGTGTCACTTGGGATTAATCCCCATGAAATGGTGCTCTTCCATCAGCCATTTTGAAATGTTGGGGAGAGGGGAACAGGAGGTAAACTAACCTGCCTCCCAGGGACTCTAGCAGGCAGGTGCTTTCCAACCCCACTTGACAGATAAGGAAACCGAGGCTCACACAAAGGCAAGGGAAAGTCATCTGCCCAAGGTCACAGACAGCCCAAGGTCACAGACAGCTCAGCAGCCGCACTGTTTTAAACCACTAATCCATGATTCTCCAGCCTGTGTCCCTGGAGGGGAAGGTGGGAAGAAGTGTGGCCCCTCCCCACCTCCTTCTATAGGAGGGAAGTCCCTACCACTTTCATTCTTGAAACTACAGCCTGCCAGGCCTGCCGCGCCCATCAGGTGGGCACTGCCACCACATCTGCTCCTCCCAAAGCCTTGGCAGTTGGGATCTCAGTGGCCCCACCCCCTACCCCGGTGGGTTCCTGCAAGGCTTCCAACATCCCTCAGTGAGTAAAAGTGAGAACAAGGCCATTTCCCTTTTCCATCTGGCTGCTTCCACTTCTAGCCTGTGCTAGGTCAGCGCTCAAGATGGGACTTGAAAGCAACCAGGGCCTGGCCAGGCCTGTGGCCAGACCAAGACTACAGGGGAAGGGCTGGCCTCAGTCTCCTGGCTCACAGAACACCCTCTCTCCGGATCTTAAAAGGTAACACAAGTTGGGTGCGGTGGTTCTCGCCTCTAATCCCAGCACTTTGGAAGGCCAAGGTGAGAGGACTGCTTGAGCCCAGGAGTTCAAGACCAGCCTGGGCAATACAGCAAGACCCCATCTCTACAAACAAAACAAACAAACCAAGTAGCCCATAGTACCAGCTACTCAGGAGGCTGAGGAGGGACGATCGCCTGAGCCTAGGAGTTTGGGGCTGCAGTGAGTCACCATCATGCCGCTGCGGTCCAACCTGGCGTGAGTGACAGAATAAGACCCCGACTCTAAAAAAGAGGTGGTACAGTACTGCCTGAGGATAAGCTGACAGATCAACAGGAAAGAATTAACAGTCCAGAAATAAATCCTTACACTGAGAACCAGTTAATTTTCAACAAGGATGCCCAGGCAATTAAGTAGGGGGAAGAACAGTCTTTTTGATAAATGAGACTGGAACAATTGG